CAAAGAGGCTGGATTTATTTGTTGGTACATTTATTAGTAATTAACAGTCAGGAAAGGAAATTAGCAGTCAGACAGGGATGGGATTTAGAGCACACAAGCACACGTTCCCTTTTTTCTCTCAGTGTTATACTATATGACAGGAAAGGCCATTTTGGTTTGCTATAGCTGATGTTCCCACAGTTCATCTGCAAATCCCTGAACTCCACAGCAGTTCAGATTTCTGCTGTGAAGTGTTTTTGCAGAACAGAGCACGCAGTGAATGTTAAATCACAGAACATTTTTCCACAGGAATAGTTCCATGGAAATTCCCTGTAGTGGGTACATTGTGTGTGTGTAACTTCCCTGAAATGCACACGCTCAGTACCCTGAGGTGCAGGGTTTAGGTAACGGTGATTTACCCACATTAAACCTTAACCCCTGCTGTGCCCCTCGTTTCCCATCACTCCTCCAGCAGGCCGTGGTTCCCGGGCAGGCTGTGCTGCTGCTGCTCAGCCAGGGGCACGATGTGGATGTNACACCCTCAGCGGGGCAGTGTCACTGTCACACACCCCTCAGTGTCACTGTCACACCCCTGAGCGGGGCACTGCCATTGTCACACACCCCTGAGCGGGGCAGTGTCACTGTCACACCCCTCAGTGTCACTGTCACACATCCCTGAGCGGGGCAGTGTCACTGTCACACACCCTCAGCAGGGCAGTGTCACTGTCACACACCCCTCAGTGTCACTGTCACACACCCCTCAGTGTCACTGTCACACCCCTGAGCGGGGCAGTGTCACTGTCACACCCCTCAGTGTCACTGTCACACACCCTCAGCGGGGCAGTGTCACTGTCACACACGCTCAGCGGGGCAGTGTCACTGACAGACAACCCTGAGCGGGGCACTGCCATTGTCACACACCCCTGAGCAGGGCAGTGTCACTGTCACACACCCTCAGCAGGGCAGTGTCACTGTCACACACCCTCAGCAGGGCACTGTCACTGTCACACACCCCTGAGCGGGGCAGTGTCACTGTCACACCCCTGAGCGGGGCAGTGTCACTGTCACACACCCTCAGCAGGGCACTGCCACCCACCACCACTCCCAAGGAGCACTTACTCCAGGAATACTCTCCAGTTACTCCCCCTCCCTCCCAGTTGTTCCATATCTTCCTCACAAGTGGCACATTCTGCTCTAAATCAAATTTTCCATCTCTTTTGGGGGGTAATGTTTGCTCCCTGAAATTTTATAGTCAGCACATACAGAATTGCTTAAAAATGCTTTTGATTTGATAGGAGGGTTTTCTTTTTTCTTTAATGTTTGCATTCATTCGGTGGCACCCAGGCAGGCTCTGAGGGCCAATCCCAGGAGTGCTCCTTTCCTGCCCTGTCACCAGCAGAGCAGAGATCAGCCTGCTCTCCATTGCTCACCACAACAGCTGGGCAAGAATCCCATCACTGTGCTCAGCCTTTAAATGCAAACACACCTCAAACTGCCGGAAAAATAATTCTGGGGTTGTGCCTGGACTTTTGTACTCAGCAGCATGCAGGTGATGTTTCACTGAACTGGGGCTTTAATGCACAATTCCCTAAAGCCACCTCTTTCTTTAGAGCTTTTTGGTTCCAGCAGCTGAGTTTTACCTAAAGTTCAGCCCATTCTGTGCAGGCAGGGCAGGAATGGAGTCCTGAGTGAGCCCGGAGCCCATCCCAAACGCAGCCCTAGTGCCAGCACACACCTGTGGGGGAGCCAGGCCTCTTCCAGGGAGAACTCCTGCAGGAGGCTGTCCCAGTGCTGCAGCAGCTGCCCCGCGTCAGGCTGCAGCAGGGGGATGCTGATGCACTGCTCCCAGCCCCTGGCATCCCTGTGCACGCCCTCCTGGTCGTAGCTGTACACCACACCTGCAAACACACACACACACAGCTTCCTTCTCACCCAGCTTCCCACCATCAGAGCAGGCAATGCAGCCCTGGCTCCCAGCAAACACCCGGGCTCGTTCTCACAGCGTGCTTTGAAAGAAGGGTTGGCTCTTCAATAATCAGAGCAACTATCAGGCTTCATCTTTAACCCCCAAAGGAGACTGGCTCTGTATGAAATGTACATCTAAATGTACAACGTACAGGGTGGGCCTGCTCTAGGTAGAGCCATTTTTAATGTGGCTTTTAACAATGTTTTTTAATTAGGGGTGTTTTAGAATTAGCAAGAACTGTGTTAAACTCAATTAAAACTGTAACTCCTTTAAAGCAAGCCTAGCCTTTCATTCCAGGGGTGGAAGGCACCTGTGTATTCCATTCAGTGCCTGTTCAATCCATGCAGGGCAATGGATCTGCTCTGGAGCAGTGCTGCAGGGTGAGACCATTCCCAATGAGCCTATCCCGGGATATCCCGAGCTGGGACACCCGCGCTGCTCACCCTGCGAGCTGCTGATGCCCACGTGCAGGTCGCTGTGCCCGTCGTA